CCGATTCTGTAAGAGAAAACTTGTTTACATAGTTCATCCTTGTACACTTACAAGAAGGATAGTAAATGGACTCCGTGCTCAGCGGATTCCGAACACGTCCTACCTACAAGCGTGGTTCTCACCTGAGCATACATTTAGTGAGATTATTCTCAGTGGCCCCAGGCAGAACAGGACCAGGGAAAGCCCTGCTGCAAGGCGGGGAAAGTGACGGCCTGGGAGACTCACACCAGATCCTCTCCTGTCTCTTAGGCCTTCCCTCCTTTTTATGAACGGAAATATCAGAGTTGGGCCAAATAGTATTGTTTTGAAGATGCCTTAGGAGAAGTGTGGCGTTGCAGCTGCAATAGAAGGTGGTCTCTGCCCTAGAGGAACTTCCAAAGCTAGTTTAGGAGGCGAACCACAGCTGTTTGAACTCTTAACACTGATACATGTACAAGTGCAAACCAGTCATTCAGAACAAATGTTAAGTGGTGATGGGGATACAGAGAAGTGGAGTGATCTCTCCTAGACTGCTCAGAGGTTTTCTGGAAGGGTTAAGATGAATCAGATTTTAAAGAAAGGGATAAATGTATGAACTGACCACAAATTGACTGGCAGGGAGAAAAAAGGGAATATCTTAATTTTAGCCTATCCTTTTAATTAATCAGTTTCTAAAAGTGTACATTATTGACAGGGTTACTATATCTAGTAAACATCAGATGCATTTTGCAAATACAAATAATACTAATCTTTGAAGTGAACTGTTTACCCTTCTGTTCCAAGTGTAGGAGATGTGCTACAATGAGCTTCATAAAAGGATTTTTAAATGGAAAATTACTGGCATAGATATATAAAAATATGAATTAATGAGCCCAAATCATCCTACCTTTTTTAGATATTTAATATTTCCCCATGAATTTAATATTGTGATTGTTCCCTCTTTTAACTTTTATTAGAATATAGATAGACTGTTTCAGACTAAATTCCTTAAGTGTCTAAAAATATCAAATTGCATAAAAACATTTTCCTTCTGAAACTGGAGCTGATTTGAGCTTTAAGGACTTAAATTCTAAGAATTAAGATTAGGTACGAACTATTGAAATGATTTATTCCACTTTGCATTGTTCAGTTTCTCAGAATGGGAAATGGATTTTAAGTTCTCTGAGGTCAGAGACTAAGTTGGTTCTATTTCTGGTTTTTGTTTTTTTTTTAAACAGGAGAAATCAAAAGATTTAAGTCCTAATCGTTGTGTTTTTCAAGTCATTTAGTACAGGTTACACTCTTCCTTTACTAAACATTGATTTTAATCCTGACGGGTTTTCGTCTCTATCCGATATAGTTGATTGAAAATTTTTAGTTATCAGGAGGGAGACCAGATGTGCAAATTTGCTGTAATAAACTTTTTAAAAAGTTACCTAAAGTAGCCGTTCTGAGAAATATTTCCATCTGTGAAATTTTTCTTTTGTTAGAAGAAAAGAGTCTGTGTGGAACATTCTAGGGAAAGGCCTTGGTATGAATCTATTGAATATGTTCAGCAGAGCAGAGAAACCTCCCATTCTGTTGTGGTAGGTTCAAAAGTCCTATTTTATCTGTTTATCAGAGGGAAAAAATAAGATGATTTTTTAATCCATCGCTGAAGATATCAAATATACTGTAAACATGTTCTGCTAACCCCTTGAAGTTCATTTAGCCTGGGGTACAGGGAAACCATCATTAGGTGATGTTTGGGGATTGTCGGAACAGTTTGAGGGCCCCACTGGTCCTGAACGGTGGGCCTCCACTGAGGGCTGGCTCAGGCAGAGTGTGCCCCATGCCTCCCCGTCTGCAGCTTAAGGCCTGTTCTGAGTCCATTAAGCTAGTTCTTAACTGACCTTCTCAAGTGGCCCTAGAATCTTTAAATTTGAGCAATATGTATTCCGTAAATTGTTCATATAGAGTGTATTGTTGTTTGCTAATAGAGGATTTAAGTAGGGCAGTGAGGACAAGTGGTAGGCCCAGATTCTTTATCTGGAGCACGTTGTGGGACTTCTCACCTCATGGAGTTATTGTGAGGATTGAGTGAAATAATGCCTGGAGTTTGCACTCAGGGGATGTTTTTGCCTGCTCCCTACTTTTACTGGCACTGCTTTCGCTTAACATTTTTATGAAAGATCTTAATTGGGTTCATCAGTACAGATAGAAGTATGCATGTTTAACTTGAACAATTTTTAAGAAGTTTAGGGATTCCTAGCAAAGCACTCCTAGGTAGTTTTAAAATAGAATGAGAAGATACTGTTTTTGAGATAAAGTTTAAGCTTGTTTTCCATTCTGCTCAAACCTGTCACTTTTTTCTTTTTGCCTTTGGAAAGTTTCACATTAGCAGCATGACAACTTAAAAATACAGTTGATGTTGAAAGAGCTTAACTAAATATTTTAAATTGGTGGTATTGGAAAGAGATTCTGTAAAAATCCAATTAAACTTTTGAAAGCTCTATCCTGTTGAAATAACTTAAAGGAAGTCAGTTTGGTTTCCCAGAAGTACTGTGCATAGTGTTTCTGGCTGAGGAAGAAAGGCCTGAATCTACTATTTGGCTAGAAATTGGGTACCAGCTTCCTCTATGATGTTTGACTTGAGCAGTGTTGACATTTGAACAAATCCCATAGAAACTGCCCCAAGTGGGGAATAGTTGTCCTTGCTTTTATAGTAAAGACTTGGCCCCATAACTAATGTCCCAGACACTGGCAGTATTCTTGGCTGAATAATCTATAGATGTGCATACATCGAGAGAGCAAAGCCCCAAATGTTTTGGGAACTTTAATGGCTACCGTTTTTCAACCAATCAGTAAAGTAAACTTTAAAAAATATTGGTGCAGTTTATTGCTTCATAGCCAATAAAAATAGTGAACAAAAAGAGTCTAGTGTCCCTTGTTTCTTAAATAAACTCTGAAAATTCACTTCTCTTGCTATTTAATTATTAAATGCAAAAGACTAGAATGATTTCTTTTAAAATTAGGGCACTTTAGGAATTTTTTTCCTTGCCTCAGACATCAGAAATAACTTTCTCTTTCCATTAAATGACAGTGAAGTATTTAACCAACATGTTTGTTTTTGTGATTTATTTTTCACGAGGAACAAAAACAAACGCTTGTGCAAAAAGTTATTTTTTTCTGTTTGATTTACATCTACAAGAGTGGTAGCTAGATTTACTCCTAGTATTAAAACATTTTTGTTTTATACAGGATATGTGAATATAAATTGAGAGAAAAGTGGTTTATGATGTTGCCTAAAAGGTTTGTGTCAGATTAAGCTCTTAGAGTTAATAATGAGAAAAAACTTTAAGGAATTGAGACTTGTATGTTTTAAATGGATATAAACAAAAATGGGAATTCAACTAAGTAAAGTATTTGTGTCTTGGTTCAGAGGAGAGGAGAGAGGAATGGATGTTTGGGGATGTATACCATGGGACTTGAGAGAAAAATCTGTGAAATAGGTACAAATTTCAAAGGACTATTTTGGCCCTTTCGTCTTCATCCTTAGGATTTGAATCAGAGTAGTTATCAGGACAGCAAAAATATATTAACCACAAGCTGTAGAAATCTCAGTTGATGTGGACAATGTCTTTTAAAATTTGGACTCACTTGAGTAATCTTACAACTTCCTGAATGTGATACTGCTAAATCGAGACAGAAAGGTTCTTGGGCTTCATTGTGGTGCTGAGTGTTCACAGTGACGGAGGTTCTTCCCTTTCACCAGAAAAACATGTTTTAAGGAATTGAGTTTTGGCTGTTCAGAGTTTTAGAAGGTATCCATATAAAACTGAGCAGTAAGCCAATAGTAGTACTTTCATAAGCAAATTTATCTCACAAACTCTGATCTGAAACTAGCACATTCCTAGAAAATTCCACAAAATAAAGCATAAATACAGGAACTTACTAGTTAATGCTTAACGAAACATTCTTAGGTTTGGGGATTTATTTATTCAGGAGAATACATGATCTCAGTTGAATAAAGTTGATTAATTCTTAAACTGGGAGTTAAGACTGCATTATCAATATTAAGTGGATTTGAAAGATTAACAACAAGCAAACTTCAGACAACATTAAGAATATTAACAAATTGCCATGGGATTGTGGCCTATGTATCATCAGTTCACTAAAATAAAGAGTGCTGTGAAAGAATAGGTAGATTGAACGATTAGAGACTTTTAAAATATGTATCATGCATGTAAGCTCCATGAGGCCAGGCATTTTTGTTTTGTTGGCCATTATATCCCAAACACTCAGGACAGTGCCTGGCATGTAACAGATACATGCATGTTGCAGCAAACGTTAGAATTACCACAGTGGTTTCATGATCCTTCATCAAAGGGAAGTTAGAAGGATCAGACTTTCTGATCTCTTTGAAGAATTTATTAAATAATCAAATGGCATAAAGCTTCAACACCATTCAATTTCAGCGTTATTTTTCTAGCTTTGTTTTGCTTTAATCTGACAAAAACAGGAAGGCGTGAATGTTTGTGTGCTAGAGTGAATTTCCAAGAGTGAGTGCCCATTAACAGCCCGTTTTGGAGGCCCCGTTTTCAAAAGGAGCTAACTAGTTTATGTGAAGTTCCTTCAGGGCTAATTTAGAAACATTCAGGACCTGGTTTGAAGTAGAAGATCACGGTTGTTAGTACAGTACATTCAGGTCGTTGTTGGTGATTTGAGGAGCTTTGGAATTGATTCCTCCCTCGGCCCATCTTACAGCCATTAGTCCTGTACAAATTTAATTTGGGTTTGTTGGTGTAGAAATTGTATTCCCACAGCAATGACGCAGCCTCCCGAGCTCATCTTGTCATTTCGTGGATTTACATATGCGGGCACAGTACAGACAAAGGAGCGCCCACCCGTCTTGCACATGCAGTCGCCGTTTCCCCATTCCTCCGAGGTGCTGCAGATACTTCCTTCTTTGTGCAGTTAGATTGTGTACTACCTGTGGAACAGTGACCCTTCCCTCGCTTCTTTGAGGAAATCTAAGCCATAATGGCATTCATGAACTTTACCTCTGGTGGACCATGATTTTTAAGAGCAGTTCCTTCTCGGGCAGTGTCTGCGATGTTTGTCTTGCAAGCGGGCCACCTCACCACCTCTTGGTCCCCTGTCACAGGTGAGAAGCCGTACAAGTGCACCTGGGAGGGCTGCGACTGGAGGTTCGCGCGCTCGGACGAGCTGACCCGCCACTACCGGAAGCACACCGGGGCCAAGCCGTTCCAGTGCGGGGTGTGCAACCGCAGCTTCTCGCGCTCCGACCACCTGGCGCTGCACATGAAGAGGCACCAGAACTGAGCCCCGCCGGGCCTGTGCCCGCCACGCCGACGCGCTGCAGGTCGTTTGGCAGAGTTTCAAACTACAAACTTAACTATATCTATAAAAAGAAAAAACAAAAAACTGGAAATGTATATTTTGTATATTTGACGAAACAGGGAATACATTGTATGAATACCAAAGTGTTTGGTCCTTTTAAGAATCTGGAATGCTTGCTGTAATGTATATGGCTTTACTCAAGCAGCTCTCATCTCATGACAGGCAGCCACATCTCAGCGGGGGTAGGGGGGTGGGGGTGCAGGGTGTGTTTGCAGTGTTTCTACCTAAGCACCATCATTTAATGTGACAGTGTTTAGTAAACAAGTCAGTTGGCAGGCACAGGAAGGAGGCTGGGTTGTAAGTCAAGATTTTACTTGATATCGTAGTTTTTTTCAATACTAGGTAATTCCTTAGAGGTGCGCAGCGTACCTGGTGATTCACAAATGGCCATTGAACAAATGGGGGCTTTTTTTTGTTTGTTTTTATATGCGTTGCCTATATTTGCTATTCAAAATTTTGTAAATATGCAAATCAGCTTTATAGGTTTATTACAAGTTTTCTAAGATTCTTTTGGGGGAAAATCGTTAATAATTCTGTTTGAAAATAACCATGAATGCATTTACAGTTAGAATTTGTGGTAAGATACCTCTTTAAACTTTCCCAAATTCATTTCTTTTGGAGGAAGAAATAATCATTCAAATGAACTTAAAGCAGATTCCATGCACTGATTAAAATAGGGTTGTTTATTTTAAATATGAAAGACATTTTATATGAATTGTGAACTCGGGCTCAAAGATACTATACACAAAAGTTCAACCTCTTACAATAAGCTAAACGCTGTATTATAGAAAAAGAAGGACTTAGGTAGTGCTCACATGGCATTGTTGAACTTATGATGCAGTTTTCATATACTGAGATGTTCGCTCATGCAGTACTGTGGTTAAATGCCAATTTATATGGATTTTGCATGTAATATACAGTGAGACACAGTAATTTTACCTAAATTACAGTGCAGTTTAGTTAATCATTGTTAATACTGACTCAGTGTCTGCCTTTAATTATAAGTGACATGTTGGAAACTTAAGGAAACCAGTGCTACACATATGCAATATAATAGTAACGTGATGCTGATGCTGTTAACCAAAGGGCAGAGTAAATAAGCAAAATGCCAAAAGGGGTCTTAATTGAAATGAAATTTTAATTTTGTTTTTAAAATATTGTTTATCTTTATTTATTTTGTGGTAATATAGTAAGTTTTTTTAGAAAATTTTCATAACTTGATAAATTATAGTTTTGTTTGTTAGAAGAGTTGCTCTTAAAACATGTAAATAGATGACAAACGGTGTAAATATTTTGTAAGGCTTCAAAATGTTTATACGTGGAAACATGCCTACATAAAAAGCATAAATTGGTTGCTGTTTTGCTTCTTTTCCCCTCTTATTTTTGTATTGTGGTCATTTCCTATGCAAATAATGGAGCAAACAGCTGTATAGTTGTAGAATTTTTTGAGAGAATGAGATGTTTATATATTAACGACAATTTTTTTTGGAAAATAAAAAGTGCCTAAAAGATTCATGTTGTGCCTTCCTTCTTAACCTGTAAATAGCAAACACAGCAAATTTCCATTCCCAAAACTATTGGCAAGGGTCTGTCTTATCAAGGCAAGAAAATATCAGTAAAAACCCCATTCCCACATTGAACCAAAGCTACCTTTGTTTAAGACAAAAGAAAGATTTGATTTAAAAAAATGTTTTATAGTTTATTTTTGAGACAGAGAGAGACAGAGCCCAAGTGGGGGATGGGAAGAGAGAGAGAGGGAGACACAATCCAAAAGAGGCTGCAGGCTCTGAGCTGTCAGCACAAAGCCCGACGCGGGGCTTGAACCCACAAACTGTGAGATCATGACTTGAGCTGAAGTCAGACGCTCAACCAACTGAGCCACCCAGGTGCCCTGAGATTTGTTTTAAAAGTATGATTACAAGTGTAAAGGGAGATAAGGTTCATAAATGCTGATTTTCTTATTTTGGCCACTACACAGACACTACATTAACCTTTTCGAGATCAGTAGCTAAAAATTGTAGAGGTAACTTCTTGCATATGCTGGCTTTATTGTCAGAGGGAACGAAAACAAGAATGGGGAAGAGGATCACTGGAAGTTTACTTAGTCCAGTAGCAACAAGCACACCTAGGGCTTGGTTTTTAATACCATTCTTCGAGTCAAAAAAGAATGGGGCTTCTTAGAAATGGCAGTCTAGGATTGGGTTAGGAAAAGGACCACGCATGCCTGGAGCATCTTCCAGCACCAGAAAGTAAGGTAGCCCTTGAAATCCCACGGTGATGGAGGTGTGTCAGCAACAGTATAAAGTAGGGATGAGTTATAACCCAAAAGATAAAACAGCCATGAGCTCACACGGAGATAAATGGTTAAGAAAAAAGACAAATTTGAAGAATTCTAAACAATTTTTGTAGATACTTTACCCTCAGAGGTAGAGCATAACTCCCTTCTCCTGAAGTGTGTGTTGCACTCAGTGTGGCCCAGAGTGGAGAGGGGATCACTACAGCGCAGAAACCTACCCATCCCCCTCAGGCTGGTGGTCAAGGTCCACTTCGACAGTGACAAATGTTGATACTACATACCCTTGATTTGATGTGATGAGAATGGAACTTTGCCTCTGCTGTTTTCCTCCTAAAAACATGTAATCCCTGTCCAATCAGGACAAAGCCCGACTGAGGGGCATTCGGCTTAAAATGCCAATATTCAATGGTGTCAGGGTCTTGAAAAACAGAATATGAGAAATGATCATGGCCAAAAGAAGCCCGAGGAGATATGACTTAAGTGTAATGTATACTAACTGAGATTCTGGAACAGAAAAAGGACATTAGGGGAAAACTGAAAGAAGTCTGAACTATAGAATTTAATGTATCAGCAATATTGGTTCATTATGACAAAATGTATCCTACTAATGGAAGCTGTTAACAAGGGGAACCTGGTGGGTGGGGTATATCGGAATTCTGTATTATCTTTGCAGTAATTCTATAAATCGAAAACTTCTTGAATAAAAAATTTATTTTTAGAAAAGTGAAGGAAAGAATGCATGTGATGGTTACATGTGTTGAGCAAATGGGAAAATCCCTGATGTGAGAGCTAAAGTGAAAATTGCAGTTATGTAATTTGGCATCATAAGTTTATTCAGCCTCTCATCATTTGACTTCTCATTCTTTCCTGTCATTCAAGTATTATCTAGCTCAAGAACACTGCACAATTCATTCAGAAGTTCTAGCCAGAACTTTTCATTCTTTCATGCGGGAAAACGTGATTTGTTTGCCTTAAATTCATTTCCAGAAATTGAGATAGAAAGTGAGGCTGCAGGCGTCTTGAAGCAGAGACAACTCCATATGTCTAGGAACAAATCAGAGATGTCTCCGTATCCAGCTGTGATTGAGAATTGTATAAATGCAGAAGTTTTCTTGTAAGTAGAAACCAGTCTTGTTTTGGTTCCCAGCACTTCCTAACACAGAGTGTGGCCGTTTCCAGTCTCTTTTCCTCTCTGAACTTTTTCTCCCTTTTGTAGCTGCCCTCTCTCTTAGGCCTGCTACCTGTTCCAAGTTGTTGTCTGCCAAAGCTGAGTTTGGACCCTTCAGTCTTTATTAGCCACACTCCCTGGAACTTTTTTATTTGGAAACATTGTGAGGCTTCAGCATTTGAATTCTTTTCCAACCTCTATCGTATGTTTTTCTTCCTGATTGTCAAATCCTTGGAAGAAACACCATGTCCTAGATGGCCTTTGTCTTACTGCTTCTATTGATTGATAAACCCTATGTCAAAAAATAACTTTATGGTGTTGTGTGAATTGTTTTATGCCCTGAGTATTTGCATCAATCTAGGGTTCACCATTTTTCCTTTTTGTGTTGCCCTGTTGGTATAGCATTGGGGCTGGATTTTTGATAAAGTGTGGGACTGTGAAGTTGCGATTATAGCGTGAGCAAACAGATAATGCCTTGTGAATTTTTTAACATTACTAGTGAGTTTTCAAGGGAGAATTATTTTAGATAACGATGCTTAACACACGTTTCAAAGCTGCAGATAATTTAATTGCTGCCCATTAGCATGTCCATTATGCGGATGTCTGGTTTCAGACATAATCTGGCCAGTCTGTTGGTAAACACGCAACCCCACCTAGACCAAAATTGAGTACTGCGCCTGGTTCCAAGTGACCAGAATGCAGTTATGTAATTTGATTTCAAGTTAGTAATGTGCTGAGTTTTAACTGCAGTTAGTTTTTATTCTCTCCACCTCTAACCCCACGTTATCTTGTTTGGTTTTGCTTCATTTTGTCTTCATTCCTATGTTTGCGGCTTGTGTAAAGTGCATCTCTTCGTGGCATCCAATTAGAGAATCCTTAGATAAGCATGACCTGGCCTGCCTACATAAAAATGTTCTTCGAAATCTAGCTAGATTCCTTTCCCTATCTTCAACTAAGCCCACCAGAGCTCTTTGGATTAACTCATGGGCCATAACATAACAAAGAAGGGCTTTATTCTCCATTACTAAATCTGGTCTCTACTTTGAAGTTGACCAAATTCCTTCTTTGGTTATATTCTTCACTGTAGTGTTAAACTAATCAATAGGAGACTTTTAAATTTTATTTATTTTTTTTACTCATACCAGAGTTATAGGTGACAAAACCTGGCAATTGTGTAATACTCATTTTAACAGTAACTATTAAGGGGGGAAAAAAAGCATATTAAGTCACATAGAGCTCTGTGTAATCAGAAGGGTTTGTTCTATGGGAACTTAGAATTTTCCTTTTTCTTATAAACCAGCACTCTTTCTTTTATCTATTCCTCTTGGTGCATATCACTTCATAAAAGCATTGGGGGTCATGGAAATGATAATATTCTTGAATCAAAAGTAAAAATGTAATGCTATTTGGTCACTGAGGATATTTGGATGATGATATATATGTAAGGAATTTATTGGGAAACCAAGATGGTTGTATAGACTTCTAGGTAAAAATGGTAGATTACATATGCATCTCATTTTGCAGCCTCCTAAAACCCACTAAAATGAAGGCC